CGCAGCTCCACGACCTCTGCGCCCTCACTTTGCCGACCAAGCGCTCTCCTACGCTCTAATTAAAGTGGAAAAATCTCAGCTTAAATAAAGCTTATGGGTACTGACTTGGGGCCTGTCTTTCAGCTGTTTGTCCGGCCTCGGGACTCACGGTTTGGGGTCAGTGTCTATCCCTCCGCAGGGCAGTCTGTTCACACTCTCACACCTGCCTGTCAAAAGAGCAAGCAGAACAGGAAGAAAGAGACATCAAAACATGCATAAGAGGTCACATAGGGATGGGACCGTAAAGATAAGTGTGGCAGATTGTCATTAAAAAGAAAAAGAGATTGCTTGTCTGTGGTAAATTTTCTATAACTGTGATAAATGCCGACAAAGATAGACACCAGACTGTGCAGAAAAAAACGCTTTGTATCCATGATGTTGTCTTCTAGATCATTGTTGTTTCACTTATGACAAAGTAACATAAACATAAAATTCGTCATTATAAGACATAATATAAGACATAACGAGATTTCATTCAAATGTGCATTTTCTTTTTTGATTTTTGGCATGTATACTTTGAATGACAATAACACTGTAACTATAATTATATGCATTATAAGCTGTCAGAAATACACATACAGAATTATTTTGGCTGTATTATCCCATGTCTAAGGCTACGTTCAGGACTTGACGCTAAGTAAATATTTTACCCTAACCTTTATCATCCTTTTCTTTTGCCTTTCACAGTAAAAAGCTAACATTTCATCTTTGTCACACTTTTTTCCCCCAATACCAATTAAAGGTGCACTATGTAACATTTCTGATAGAAGGTCCACCATCTGCTAGTGCCATGGACATGTTGTTGCCATGCCTGTACTGTTCCAAAGTCTGGTACTAAATGGATCTATCTTGCAGTTATTAAAATACATTGAAAAACATGCACTGTGAGTGGGTTGGGTCTCCTGGTCAAATATGGGCAAAAAAAAATGCGATTCAACCCGAAATGTGAACGTAGAAACAGACATTTTAAATAAAGTACAAACAAACCCCTCTAGGCCATAATAAAATGTACAATTATTATCCCAATTGACTCCAGCCGTTCTCAGTGGCACCCAAGAGGCACACTTCAATACAACTGCAACATTGTTATATGCTGGTTCACTTTGGGTACATGAAAGATGTGGCTAGACTGCCTCACAGTGGTCACCAGTGGTACTGCAGACAGACAAAAGTGAAGATGTAGAGATAAGATTTGCACCTCATTAATTAAGGCTAATCCATTGTGAGATACACTGAGAGTACACTGTGAACTAGATGGTATAGGCCGACATAGAGGTAGGTGCAGCATGGTTTTGGGTTAAATTCTCATGGATTCTGGTGTCTTAGTTTTTGTCTGCCACCAGAAGTCCTTTAATCCGTGATTCAAAGGGATTCAAAGGCAAAGTTGCATATACATAGCTTGAGAGAATAGCCTATGAATTTGATATTAAACATTGAAATTGGGAGTTTAACATGCTTATACAAAGGCTTAAAGGTGCACTATGTAATTTTTCATCCCCAGGGTTAACTCCAATGAGATGCTAAATAAATGGGTTAAGTTACATCAGAGAAAGCTCTGGAAAATGACTACATGTAAATCACTGCAGTTTGAAGGCAGAAGGGAGAGCCAGGAGAAGGTGAGTTTAAAATTGATGTGCCTGCAAAGTTACAAATATCCAACCTCACTTCTCCATTCCTTGGGTCATAGAGTAATAAGCTGCTATATATTCCAGAGACATGAGGAGTTGTATGGGAGCTGTGCTGTAGGTAAGTGGGACAGTTGATGGGGACATGTTTAAAAGGAGCAGGTCCCTGTGCCTCTCGTCCTCTGGCTCTGAGCTGCAGCCACCAGACTGAATTATACATGTGCCTGTCATGTGCTGTTGGAGCAGGGGGTAAACTTCTTTCATTTACATAAAGTAACAAGGATCAAGGAGAAATTGTAATATCTATAGTGAGAAAAGTTTGTAGGCCTTTAATTTTTGACTGATGTACCTTTTAGAGGTCACACAGTATAATAAAGTTAAGTGAAGTAAATAAAAAGTAAATAGCTATCATTTTTTGTCCATTATGTAAGTGATACCCTGTCTGCCCCCTTTGTTTATATGATTTTATTTTATTTATTTATTAATTTTTTTTGGACTGAGTTGCCCAAATGAAATACAATAAAGTAAACAGGTTCACTCTTCATTCTTACTTTGACTTGACTTATAACTTACACATTTCATGCGAAGTATATGGAGACTTTAGAGCTATTGTGGTTCAGTTTGTCCTCTGCATTTAACCACCCTTAAATTATACCTCACAAAAGCACGTGACCTGTTGTTTATGTCAACATATTGGAGGTCAAAATATCTATCTATCTATCTAAGATCTGAACCAAGGTGTAGTATTTGTATGTGATAAAATAAGAAGGATGTGCTGTGTGTTTTTCACTTTCGGCACAGAATCCTCCCCCGGTCCTCACTTTCGCCAGCATAGAATCTCCTCCTCAATTTCCACACCGCGCAGGACAGCTACGTTTCTGATTTCGACCCCCATTCTACTTACCCTGGCTGTTATCAGGAACAGATATGATGGCTTGGAGATCAACAAAGATCTCACGCTACAAAATCTTTATAACCCTCTAACCCCTTGTAACATTTCAGTTCTTGGTTGGTGTAGGACAACATAGAATGAATTAAGTAGTTATAAATATCTGGATATTGGACGTTAGAATTAGGGATCTATTCCACAACCCAGGAGGATGATTTTAGCATTATATCTTTCTAATGATGGCTGATCTAACAAGCTGGCAATTTCGGACAGTTTTATGTTGTTTGCGCTCTTTAAAGTAACCATGATTGTATTATAGTAACTGAATAACACCTTCCGGATCAATCCCAACCTTGACCTCTAGTGTGGCTGTCAAAACATTAAATCACGTGACTGCCACATCACACGCCAATCCTTAATAAAACCTGTTAATTGTTAATCATGGACTCAGAGTTGCTTGGGTCCATAAAGATGTATTTTTTTATGGCTCAAAAAATACTTGTATACTAGCATGCACTCTTGAATGGGCTGATCTTCTTCCTTATATGATCTCTGACTCAGTGTGGTGGTGTTACCTGGTGTATGTTTAATGCCATATTGTGGAACATTTCGAATAACATCTTCAAGCAGGTGGCATACTCTCAGAAAAGCTTTTAAAGTAGAATGGACATGTGTATATGTTTTAATTACTTTTGCCATTATAAAATGATCACAATCTCCACAGTTGAGGACCACCAATTCAAAGTGTAATCTGAGTGCCCAGCTGTACACACTGTCTACTTCTCTATTGGTTTATGTGCCACTAATTACCCTGCACTGCTCCAGTCTATTGACTAAATCACGAGATACTAAAGTAATTTCAATCAATGTGTTTCTATAGACGTGTTACAGTAATTGTCTCGGTTCAAGTTACGCCATTAAAAACTATTGATTATAATAGAGATAGATATAAGCAGGCAATATTAGATGCAAAACATTACAAAAGGCTTTTATTTATGGTTTCATATTCCCTCCTGTTACAGACCGTTCACTGTAATTAAATAGATTACCATATCTAATCACAACAAACCCTTATGTAAGAAAGAGTCAGCTTTCAAAACTCCAGTAAATCATACACAATTCAGAAATATTCATAGTCTTTATGTTTATATAGAGTAGACTGTGGACCTCTACCAAGGCATTGTTAAAGCATTTTATTATTAGCTGTGTAGTGGGCAAATGAACAATAAATTAACTGAGAGGTTAAAACATAACCCTCTTGATGTTTGCACTTACCCGACTGTAACATGATTACCTGATCTGTTTAATCCACCCATAGACAGGCAAAGAACTTAAGGTTTGAAAGACACCTGTGTTTTCCTCTTTCTTATTTTCTCTCTGTCACTCTTGCTTCCTCTCTCTCACAGCATGGCATTTAGTGAGTGACACAAGCAGGGCTAATGAAATATTCTCTCTTTCTCTCTCTCACTCTCTCTTTTTCTCTCATTCTTGCATTCTTTCTCTCTCTCTCCCAGCATGTAGTTTTGTGAGTGACATGAGTCGGGCTAATGAATGATGGAACAACTCAGCAGCTGCGTTAGAGTCAGATTTAGCCCTGGTTACATCTGCTGCTGCACCACACAGACTCTACATAGACTCTACACAGACTCGCTCCTACGGCAGAAAAAGAGCCCCTAACACAAGAACCAAAACTAACCTGAACGTCAGCAGAGATGGAGATGAGCTTTTATCAAGTGAATGTTTGTTCACCCGGGCGAGGCGTGTTTGTTAAAGGCTTCGGTTCATCATCCAAACATGTTGCACCTGAAACTTCCCCCATCTGTGAGTTATGAGAACTCCAAACATATCCATACACAGTACCATCAATTTGACTCACTTTGACTATCAAAGTGAGCAGATTTGTAATCTTGGATTAGTATCTTGCATTTATTCAATTACAAGTGTTAATATTATTCAAAACACCTTGAAAAACATGCATTCCTTCTTACTTCAGGACAAATGATTTGACAATGGGTTAAAGAAAAAATACTTTTCCCACTGGTAAATTTACTGTCTATCTTAAGTATCTTGATGATCATCATCATCATCATGAAACTGGTGAAATATTATGAGACATCAGGATTAAAATTTAAATCATTTCTGAAATCAAGCCTTTTAAAGCAAGGCTTCAAGCTGGTGTAGATATGCACGAATGGTTTAATAATGACCTCACGATTTGTGTGAAATTTAATAAGAAAAAACAGATTGATGGTATTGATATTGTGAAGTGAAACTGTTAATGAGTTTTGCATTTTTATGCCATTAAAAGCAGCAAATATAAGCCCAAATAAAACTGGGAAATGAACATTTCAGACTCTGTAGGGAGCAGTTGTCAAACAGTCTTTCAAACATTCGTAGGCAGATCATTTGGCATTGTGACGATTGATGATCAGACATAGTCCTGAGTCCTACTTGAGGAGGCAGAGGAGCAGCAGAGGTAGCAGCAGCAGGTGCTGTTGGAGTCGAGGAGGTCGTGAGGAGAGGTTGGTCAGGTTGCAATCGTTACTATAGCAGCAGTGAACTTTGACCCCAGGCGCCCGGTAGCCCTGACTGTTGGCCTGACTGCAGAAGGACTTGTATGAGCAGGACTTCATCACTCCACCTGAAAAGCAATAAATAAGAGAACGGGTCACACTGGGCTCCACTATAATGATACAACTACCTTTGTACTTGTATGAAAGTTTCATGTAAGGATGCCTTTGATACTGAATAAAGATATACAGTTACCGTATTGCCAAAAACATATTTATTTGAAAACAGTCGTACCAAATGACATTCCAGAGTAGTTCCAGAGGAAGTCAGTTTAAATTTGCACTCCAAAGGAAGTTCCCACATAATGTTCAAAAGAGAAAATCTATTTTAAACCAAATGACTAATCTCAGTTGATTCTCAGACAGTGGTACTGGTACCATTGGAGGTACAAGAGGCCCTTTGCACTTTTTGTATTTATTTGTTTCATTTAGAGACAAATCAATATATGTTTTTGCCTACTATTTTAGCCACACTTGAGTCCTGTTTTAGACCTGGTTGAGCGTGGTATTAGTGCTGGTTTAGATTTGGTGAAACACAGAAACCATATATTGGTATTTCTTAAATGTGCACTTTCAAGTGGAGGGTCTGCTGAATGCTTGTCTCCATGAAGACATAATTGCTTTGTCTGGGAATTTCCACAATGTGGCATTAAACTTATCTATCTCTATGGCAGCAGATGAAGTCACTAGGCCAACTTATTAAGATGTCAAGATGTTTTTCCAAAGTATTTTAAGTAAAAAAAACACCTGTAATTGAATAAATGCAAGATAGATTAGTTTAATGCCACACTGTGGAACATCTCGGACCCCCCACCATCAGAAAAGTTATGTAGTGCACCTTGGTACTTGAAATGAAACGTTTAGAAACTTCTACAAACATTTACTAGATTATTGTTTGTGTGTCTGAACCTTGAAAGACAAGCAGCCTGCAGTCTTCCACTCTCTTTTGCAGAGTTAGATGTAAACCAGGGACCCAGAAAATCATCAGTTTAGATGAGAGAATCTCTGTACCTCACCAGAGTGTATTATGGTCCTGTTTTGCAGTTACATAAAAGTGGCAGCATTGGTGATATTTTGCAGTAATCTGGAGCAGAGGAGTTGCCTGGGCACCATGGACACATGGTGGCCTAATTAAAGGATATTGACTGAGTAGGAGTTCACAAAGCATTCTCTTAAAAGCACAGCAGGGCCCCCTGTTGGTTGGAAAGTGTCCCTAGACGTCAGCCAGGCACCCATTTAACACAACTATATTTACAAGGTCCTCATATGAACTAAAGTGTAGGCAGTGAGAAGAATAAAGTAGTTAAAGCTACTAGACTGTGGAGGCTGGACTCACTGTCATGGCCAAGCACCACAGCACAAGCGTCGGAGAAACTAGGACAGGGTTTGGAGCCTTGCCGGTTACAGTCCTCATTATTGGAGCCCATGCAGGTATAACACTGGAGAGCTTCACCTGAAACAGAGGGAAGACAGGTCAGCTCTGGTACAATACAAAAGACAAGTCATAAAGCTTACAGCATTTTTAAGGTGACTTTTAGTACACTTATTAAGGTCCGGGGAGCAGTTAGAGGCAGAGGTGGTTGGAGTATGCAAAATATTACTTCAAAATGATATTATTCAAGTAGAAATCCTAAGAAGTGGTCCAAGAAGTTACTCAAGTAAGTCAATACTCAACACCCAAATACTAATTAATAGTAGAAACTATATTGAAATTTTAGCATCATGACAACAGTAGTGCACACTGGACATGTCAGTCAGTTCAAGGGTTAACCAACAGCATACTGGGTAGAGTAGCCAAAATGTTACTTCAAAATAATATTACTCAAGTGGAAATGCTCAGTAGCGGTCCAAGAAATTACTCAAGTAAAAAAATAAGAAAATGTAAGTCATGTCTGAATGAGGATTGCAAGAAACACAAATGTTCAAATTATTTAATATTATGGGCATAAATGGTCACATTTTAATAGAGCACTTTTCCACCTTCAAGGCACTCAAAGTGCTTTACATTCCATTCAAACAGGGTATGCAGACACTAGGGGCAAGGTGGGTTAAGTGTCCAGCAGCAGCAGCATTCATCTGTGGGAGCTGGAATCACACCAGCCAAACTGTGGGTCAATGGATCTTCCCGCTCTACTAATGATGTTTATATCAAGAGCGGGTTTCAAAAAACCATTCATCAGATCAGTGGACAAATGTTCTTACCATCTGAGCTACTGTCGCCCCGCTTTCACCACTTGTGTCAGAAAAATACCAACTGAGCACTGGTTAGGGAGCATATGCTGGTGCAATGGTAAATAACTTTGGATTTAAAATGTTACACAATCTATGAATCTGACGCTCATTACTCTTCCAAATGACAGTGGAGAAGTGACTGCAGACAATCAGTTGTTCACTTTTGACCAGAAAGCCAATGGACAATCTTTTTAAGCCATTTTAGAACAATGTAAAATAATAATAAATTTTTGTTATAATTTAACTAATGATTCTGAAAAGCATAATATGTCTTCTTTAAATTGTCAACCACAATGCAAACCAAGTCAACCTTTCCATATGATCTCACTTAATGATGCTGGCAACAAGCTTTCAAATGACCACGTGCCTACAGTGTGATAATGGCTCCAAAATGGAGAATGACTCACCTATACTTCAAACAAAGGCTAAAACAAGAAAAACATTGGTATAACTTTCCGCCCAGCGCTCCAGTCTGTCTCTCTTAAATGTCTCACTAAAGCTCTCCAGAGGGAACAAGAGCGATTTTTTTTTTTTTTTTTTGGAGAAGTTGCTGACCTTTGAAATACCACTTCCTTTTGAAAACTCTCATCCGTCTCCTAAAATCTAAAGTGGTTCCTCTGAAACATCCTTTAATGCTGTTTCCTAAGAGGATCAAACCAAGCCGGACTTATAGCAATCACTAAAAGCCTTCAAAGCCAGTGCCACACTACAGTATCTCTTGTCTTGGGTTTCAAAATGCCATTTCGGAAATGTGTTCTCAGGTTTTTTAGGTAGTGATGAAAGAAGAGGGATGGTGGATATGAAAGGATAGCCAAATCAAAACATTTACTGAAGAATGCACAGGTACCTTGGTGGTGGGATTAAACAACATTTGGCATGAAGAGTGGAAATCCAAAATGATGAGTCTTTAGTTGTCAGAGATGACAATGACGCTCAACAGTGATTGCCCACCCCGCCGTTCTGGAACTAAATTTTCCATTCATTTTCTGAAAATTTATAAACCGTGAAGTTATTAAAACATTTCACAGAATCTTGCACGGCCTTTTTGGACTTAAAACAACTGGGTAATGGATATTAGTTACCACGTACCTGCTTAGCCTCTGCAATATCTTTGAACTCTTAATATTAGAATTTTTAAAACAGGCTATGGGAAAAATTAATGGAAACTTGACTTGTGGAACCTGCAGGCTGTCACTACTGAACTCCATATTCAAATGATATGTTAACCCACCAGAAATGTGCCTGTAAATGTTTTGGTTAAGGTTCAATTATTGCTATAATGTTACTTTCTACCTTATTTTTAAAGGTTACACAGCAGTTGTTTTATTTCTTTGTTTAATCTTATTGACTATTCTAAACCTGCATCTTCAAAACAACAATTGCAATATTATTAATCTTTTGACATGCCTCTCACCTGTAGTTAGCATTTGAAAGTGGATTGCAAGACTGGAAACAAAACTATTACATTTACATATACAGTATTATATATATAGATATTCAAATTTTGAAACAATCTACTCTTTGGACCATGAATAAAGACAGAAGGAGCTTGCACTCTCTTACACTTGAAATGCTGTAGACTAAGGGGGAAAGACATTTGACTCTATGGTGTCAGAGAATTTAAGTAATTTATCTTTCACACACATCTCAGTTTAACATTGATTCACAAAAGCTATATTTACAGCATTTCCCTTGGCATACCATTATCTAAATTGTGGCATAGTGCTGTGAAACTGGTGTCTACTGGCCTTCATAGTCTCACCACACTCCTCACCACACTCCTCTTTTGTAAGAGTCGAACGTGGCTTGAACACTCAAAGATCATACTATGTTCACTTTTGAAATCATACCATGTTGACTTGATTTTGTATTATTGATGGTAAATAAACTTCTCCTGCTTAAGACATCCAGTTGGTCTCCAGCCTTTTACTTCCACCCGTTCTTGGACAAGCTAAAAACTTCTTCAACATAGGGGCCAATGGTGATTATAAAGCAGCAAACAACATTCTCATCTAGTGTTAAAGGATGATCTTGACAATCAAATATGACAAGCAGAGAAGTCAACAGTGGGGACAAAGGAGTCTATTTTCCAAGGCTCCAGGGTCTTAGGAGCCCAGAATTAGACCTTTTTCCTATTAACTTATATTAGAGGGGGCCCATGTGAGGTTTCTTGCCCTGGGGCCTCAAATTTCTGTTGATGACAAGTCTTCAAGATCAACAAAACTACTGAGCAATTAAACACTATACAAAAGATTTAGTTTACATGCAATATTTCTCCTTTGTTTGTATTGTTTGGTTGTTTAAGTCTGTGAAAAGCCACAGGTAAGCGATTCCCTGCAGCTATAATAGGCCATAGGCAGTGTGAGGATTTTTTGAAAAGTCTATTACCAAATACTAATTCATACTAGATACCATTTTGATTTTTTAGTATCATGACATAAGTGCACACTGGACATGACAGTTACTTCCAGCAGCATACTGGAAATTCATCACTGTGGATAATATAGATAAAGTAAAACTCTTAGGTTATTTTTAACATCTATACCTACATTCAGAGCCTTGCATCTTTGTGTTATGGCTATACTTTTCTGTTGCTTCTTGCACACTGTACTTGCTCTGTTGACAAGGCAAAATAAATGCCCCCACTGGTGCTGCCTGACCCCATTCTATCCCCACTGCAGCAGCCGCTCCACACACGCTCCAGGTATTAGTACTCAGCCCTATTAAAAGATTAGCTGCTGCTGGGATGGCATGCTAACCATAGGCTACAGGATAACAAACATGAAAACAACAGAAAATAACCCAGTAAATGAGCAGCTATTTAGTCATCTCATCTGAAATCCAGTGCACTATCTAAGCAACAACTGTACAAGACCAGAATCAGTTAAAGCTCTCCAAAGATCTCCAAGGCATTTCTTCTTATGTTGTGCACTTTGTAGCTTTTCCAGTGAAGAGTCTACCACCTGCCTGGAATGTTTCACAGTATGGCAAATTAAACATCCGTGAATGTAGCTTTTGGTAGCTACCTTGACGGTAGCTTTGCATAATATTTAGTGTGACCAGACGTCCCTATTTACCCAGGACAGTGTCACTTTTGAGCCGTGTCTCTTGTCCCAGTAGATTTATCCAAAACCATTGATTTGTCCCAATTTTATACAAGAAATGTCCCTTGTGTCCCTATTTTTGACCAATCTGATACCTGCCAACAGTACAGAGAGCCACACATTGTAATTTATTTAAGTAAAATACTGAAAAGGATACTTAAAAATGACCAAAACACAAAGAAAATGTGACTATACTGGCTCACATGTTAGTCATGATTAGTCAGTTTTCCTTAATTGTGCACTTGTTTTACAATTTTATTATTACCAACCACCCCAAACCAGGGCTGTCCCAGTTTTTGATTTTGATAATCTGATCATCCTAGTAATAATGTAATGTGTGTGATAGATAAGTTAAATACTGTGCAAAGGAACTTCCCATGGTATACAATAACATTTCCCTGAAGATAAGTTACGTATTGAATCTTTAGTGATGAAAGATATACTATAGCTCTGGGCAGGAAATTCTAGCTCAGGGGTAAATGCTATTTTATTTGAGTCACAATGTACTTGCTTGTTTAGACGATGCTATAAAGTTAATTTCCATACATCAGTAAAGCACCTTCAGTTTTGATTTGTTGTAGACTGTAAACAATCCACCAAGAGTCCACCAACACAACAAACTTCAGGTGATAACTGAAATAGTTTAGAAAGGTTAACGTCTCCATTAAAACATAAAAGTCAACAATCATAGCCTTACTGTGTGTTGCTAGCAGGATTGTAGACAGCAGCAGTAGTGGACAGTACAGGGCTCCTCTCATATCGCTGGTGGTCATCTGGTCACACAATGAGAGGTCAGCCGTTTGCTCCCAAAGCCTCATGGGACATAATCTTTGAGCCATCAGATGAGCTAATATCCCTCCCAGCAGGATCAGCGCTTCCTCCAGACGCCAGCTCTGTCTGCTTGTGTCTCTGATTAGGTCAACACACACACACAGGACTACAGGGGCGCTCATGAACTTGTAACCTAAAGCAACAGGCAATGAAGGTAAAGATGTGGCTGTGTGGCTCCTGGTGTGGTTTTGTGAGAGTGATAGTGGAAGTTAAAATTGTGATTCAGATAATGTAATATAAAGTTATCGGTCAATTATTATTCATTTTTAAAGTTTGAAAAAGTAGTTATCTGAAATAAGCTTTGAAGTGATCCAATTTGCCTGCAACTTACATTTAGTCCTTTTTTGTGACTTTACCACAACACTGTTTACCACAACATTTATTACTACATGTATAATGTTTAAACTGTTGTGTTGTAGTAAGGGTGAGTTTGTCATTGTATAATTCAAGATTTAGGGGAGCACTATGCATTTGTTTTCAGTGGGACTGTTGGGCCACCTATTTATCTGCACAGAGAGATTATTGTTTTGTATAGATTGTATATTTTACTGCATTTATCCCTTTGCAAGTGTTTTTGTTGCTATAAAACACACTGAAAAACACTATGTGCACTATTTGCTATTTTTTGCCCTTTCAGTTACATTTGAAGTTAAAAATCAGATGACCTCCTTGTCTCTATGGAGACAGATATGGTTAATGTCCAGTGTTGGGAGTAACGCATTATAAAAGTAATGTATTACAGTAATGCGTTGATTTTTGCTGTAACGCAGTAATGTAAGGCATTACAGGGGGAAAAAATTTAATATTTTACTCGGTACAAATGTGAGTAACGCGCGTTACAATGCTTTTTTAACCTGGATTGAAGTGGTGGGTTTTTCTTCATAGAAATTCGCTAAAATCACCATGAAATCAGCAGCAGTGAAATGCCAGAGACGCGGCCGGATAGACCTTCAGTTAACCGCGGGCGAAAGGACCAACCCGCTGTTTAGACCTGGTTTAGACCTGAGTCACTTCTGGTTTAGACCTGGTTTACAGTCGTCCCTCGCTCTAACGCGGTTCACTTTTCGCGGTCTCGCTGTTTCGCTGTTTGTTTGTTTTTTGTTTGTTTGTTTGTTTTTTGTTTTGTTTTGTGCAATTTTGCTTGCCTTTTATTTTTAGTGTATGAACACGTATTGCGTTCCTCCCGCTGCGTCCTGATCGGCTAAGGGACTCCTGTCTACTGTACAGTACAGTACAGAATGTGTTCAGCTGCCAAATTTAAATAAATGTTCAATCTCTAGCAGTGTGCTTCTGAAGTGCTGTATGTCTGCAAGTTTTCTCTCCGACAAAATCCACAACGTCGACGAAACGTTCTGCACTGACAAAGTCTCCTGCGCTCACACCCAAAAGACAGAGGACGATGCAAACCATTGCACAAAAAGTTGGACTTCTGGACACGTTGAAGGAAGGTAGAAGTTACGCGCTGTAGCAGAATCTTGCACCGGGTCTTGTACCCGCAAATAGTTGCTGAAATCAGGACCGTGAGCCCGCGCAGCAGGGTGTCCATAAAGCGCGATCGGGCGACAGCCGCTCTTACCTCCATGAGGTGCGGAGCAGAGCCGCTCCTTTCTCCTGCGGTCACCTTCGAGCCCGTCCTCACAGTGAGTCCTGTTTTAGTCCTAGTTCAGTTCTGGTTTAGTCCTCCTCTTCAGTCCTGGAATCAGTCTGAGGTTAGTCCTGTTATAGTCCTGGTTTAGTCCTGGTTCAGCTCTGGTTTAGTCCTGGTTTAGACCTTGTTTAGTCCTGGTTCAGTCCATATACGGCTCAAAAAGTTCAGCTTTTTCGCAGTTATTTAGGTGAGAGTAACTTAAAGTAATGCAATAGTAATATAATGCCTTACATTTTAAATGCAGTAATATTGTAATGTAACGAATTACTTTGAAATGACAGTAATAAGTAATAAATAACACATTACAGTTTTAAAGTAACTTGCCCAACAGTGTTAATGTCAGACCCTCTACCAAAAAGTTACACACTAGCAAAAACAAACCTTAAGTTGTGTTTTTTTAATAACACGTTTGAGTAATCCTTGTCTACCTCCCAAAAGCTCAAAATGCTCCGCTCTACCTTATGGTGTCATGAGGTTGAGGTTATAGTTTTGAAGTTAACAGTCATCTTTTACTCTTTTTTCAGTAGCAATTGACAATTCCAGGGCTCCAGGTATGTTTTTGATGAGGAAACAACAACAACATTATAACATAGATCAGAAAATATAGCTTTATATCGGCCCTTTAATCAATTAGCGAATAAGTCAGTAGTCACATACTGCAGGATTGTTTAGTGAAGTGTATGAAGCTGAATATAAATGTTTTGTTGTTGTTCTTGTGTAAAAATCATTATCTTCAAATGCCTTCTGTACGAAATATTGAGTAAAACCTGAAATATTAGAGTCGTAAATATAAAAGGTCAGCCCACTGTTGTATTGCCGTCTTTTATTGCACGTTTGAAGCCAATGCTGTACAGTAGCTGTGCAGAGAATCAGTGTGACACGAAGACCAACGCAGTACGAAGACATCCATCCAAATTAAATTACTCCTGGTCACAACTGAATACACTCACAAGTTTATATATATTGTCATATCAAAATAAATCCCCCAAAAATAAAGTTACACAATATCATAGCTATGACAAATATCTACAAGGTTACATGAAGGAAGCAGGTCAAATGACTATCAAAATGCATTTTTTATACTTTCCGGAAGTATTTTTTACAAACATTAATATTACTATCCTTACATGCAGGAAGCTACAGATATATTTTAGTGGTGTATCAACAAGGTAGGGCTCTGTATCTCTTCTATCTTTGTCTTGTAAGAGGAGACAACAACAAGAACGGGTAAAACAGTCTTCTCCGTCAGTGGCTGTCATGGCAACATCATTAGATATAATTTAACTCAGTCATTCACGTCAACAATGTATTCTCAACAACATTCGCTCCCAAGTGATATGGTACATTTCTAAAACTTTAAAACCAGACCCCAAAACAGTACAATATACACTCACATCTATATACAGAGTGGTACAGAGGAAGCCAGTCCAGTGGATTTCTGTACATGTATGAACATAGACCCCAAAATAAAGCTTTAGTCTGTTTTAAAAGTGGGGTATTTTTGATCCAGTTTATTCCAGGGTTCCTCTTTGCAGGGTGTCATGGAGAGGCTAACTCTTCCCCATTTTGGCAATCAGCTCGTCACAAATCTTCGTCAATTCTTCGATCTCTTTGTTCTGTAACACATCGATGAAAATGTTAGGACATACTGTACATAAAATATAATGGGGACAATTTTAATCAGTGACATTTAATCACACACTTTATCTGGCAGAGGAATGGCTGTGGACCTCTCCAAGACCATATCTACATATAATTGACTGATTAAAAATGATTAGATCTCGATTTGATTAAATAATTGCACTGGCCTACATACAGGGGTTTCATTTGGTCTATACATTTAATTTAAGTCGTAGGTAAACAGAGCAGCACTGGATTGCTAGAAATGTAATGTGTTGTTGTATTTTATGTAAACCCAATTAAAACAAACTGGATACTCTCAAACAGTCAGGTAACTGCTAAGTAATTGAGTAATTGAGATACTTGTTACAAAGAAATTCAGTTTCAAACTCTACATCATAACTTGGAGAAAGCACATATTTGGCTCGCCAATCTGTTGTGACAGGTTTACGTCTAATTCCTTGCACTTTTTTATTTTTATCCATATGAAGCTCTGACGGCTTGACAGCTTGGTAGAGGTTTACACAAACTTCAGAAGTTAAACAAACCAAAATTAGATCATAGCCTGAATCCTGGCCTCGGGGAAAGATAAATATCTGGAAAAACAGAGATGGAGATGCAATATATGCACTAACCAAGCATACACTGAATATATTTTATTTCAGAATATTATGAATATACTTATGTTGTGTGGGTGCTTGAATTTCTCACACATTTGATCAGTTATCACCTCTTGTGCATAATAGTTCCTGTAGCTTAGATTGTATCTTTTATTCAATTTAGTATTTTAATTCTCAAACTCAAAGTATGTCTGAACAGTATGTCTGAACTCAAAGTATGTCTGAACAGTTCTTGTACTTTATTGTTGAGCTTAAAAGACTGCATTTCCTCACAGACGGAAAAAAAAAACAGTTCTCTTATCTCTCATGTAAAACTTTTAAATGTCACAGGCTAGTTAAATTAAAATAGGTCTTCTTATCGAGGGCTTCATTCATGCAACTTTGGCAAAGACACAATAAAACAAAGAGACAGTTTAATTTCATTCACATTATATTAAAGGGCCTGTATTACGCTATTTTCTGTTCTGTTATGATGTTGTTTCCTCATCACAAACCTGATGCTGTGTTTTGTTTCATTAACACACAAATCCTGCATATTAAGGCTGAGTTCTTCTCTCAAACTCAAAACAATCTGTTGTCATGTCATGGGAAATAGAGGAGGGGCTCCACTCCATACACCATCACTTGAATCATTTGGATGATTTCAGCCCTGTTAACTTGAGAACTACCTCTTCATGACATCACAGGGTGGAACAGAGCATTTGGAGCTTTGAAGATGTAGACAGACTAATAATAAAGGGTTACTCAAACTGTGTGAATGCAACAAAACACAACTCCAGGTCAGTTTTTGAAGAGGTACCAACATTATAACATGGCTAAAAGTTCACAAGAGTCCATTCGTGTAATATAGGACATTTAATTGTAATTTCCTGACCTTCTGTTCTAGTGTCCTCTCCAGTGAGTCCACCTTCATCTGCTCCTTGCGCAGACTGGCCTGGTATGCCGCTTGCTCCTGTTTGGACTTGGCTCGCACTTGTGCTATCTCTGCATTGGCCCTGGACACAACACAAATGCAAAGTCACCTCTTCATACCCTCCACAACACTTATGTAAACAGGCTTACATTTGCAAAGCTTGTGTACAAGTAGCTTACATTATAAAAACCTTACATTAAATAGCGCCAGTGTGTTAGACTAATCTATAGAAACAGTTAATTACATTGGCCTTCTTCCAAACTTACTTCATTGTGAGAAATGCAGTATTTTGTTGCATGCTTCCTTTGGGGAAAATCTGAATGAACTTGATATAATGAGGGCATGTATTGACTTACTTGTCTAGTTTCTCCTCCGCATGGATCTTTAGGGCCTGATAGCGCTGCTCCTCTTTCCGCACCCTAGATAAATACTCTTGCGCGCATTTCTTCAAAACCTCTTCATTCTATGAGCACAATGACATTCATAGGTTAATTACTGGGCATGGAGCTAATGGAAGAAATATACAATGCCTGTAAATGTTGGGTTATATTTGGCTAATTAATTTCTATGTGTCTCTATGAGTCACCTTGCGGAAACCTTCTAGTACGTCCTTCATTTTCTCATAGCGCCTGAAAAGATCGGCTAAAGATTTTTCCACTGAGTTGAGATCGGCGAGAGCTTGGTCTTTCTCCAAAATGAGCTGCTGTATCGTGTGGTGGGACAGGGACTTCTCTTTTTGGTCATCCTCTAAAAGAAACATAAATGCAGAAGGTTAATTTAGTTAGTGTTGTTATTTATTTTATGGGTACAGTGTTAATGCAGAAGTAAACTGTAATGGACTCTGTAGAGGGAAAAATGACCTCCATTGACAACAAAACAGTTATATCCACTTAAACCAAATGTACCAGATGTGAGGGTTAGTGGAAGACTTACACTGTACAACATTGATGACTTTATCAATGAAGCATGCAAAATAAATCACTAAACAATGGGAAAATTCATCATACTGTTAGAGGCAAACAATTTTATTATAGATTATAGATTATGACCATGAATATTTTGTTGTGTTGGGTGTCGACTTAAAAGATTAGAGGGTCATATTCTGGAAGAGGAACAACTTAATAATTTTAGATGACTTTTTTTTTTGTTTGCTTGTTTTGTTTGTTTGTTTTAAGATTTTGCTGATTTGCAAAGTAAGAATTTTAAGTACAAGACGAAATCCACAATCTAGATGTACAAAATATTGCTTCTTAATAAAAATCTGACCTTTTGACCTACAACGAATGAAGAAATGTCTCTTTTGGATACTCTTTCTGATGCAAACCTTTTTGTTTATCTAGCTTTGGAAGACAGTATGTATGTTTGCCTTGTACTGATGATCAACTTATATGGTTTATTCTCTTTAATATTGGCCTGACATAAAAGACACCTGAAAACCAATAGATGAAGTCCTTTTTACCATGGAAAATATAATTAGTGAACAGTATACTATCAATACAACACATGAGCAGGCAGCGTTCACAGGTGAGATGCAAGTAAGGCTTGTGGCGCTCAGATGGAGGTGACACAGACAGGTGAAGGGCGACTGCTTACTCACCTGGCATGCCTGTGTGACAGTAAAGGGGGGGCAAAGATGGCGGCAGAACACAAAAGAAGGGAGTGTGTTAAAAGTCAAGCTGTGAGGGCAAGACACGTGACCAAAAGCTCAGCTCAACAAGATCCTTTAGTGACGGAGCAGAAATTAGGCAAATTGAATCTTGGGAAATGTCCACAGGAGTTGTAAAAAATAAAAAAGTTATTATAAGCAGCAGCAGGGGTAATGCAGAGCGCATGAGCCTGCAGTGGTTTTTAATGAGTCCCAGAGAATAGGTGCCACGGTGAGCAAAAAGGTGCGGCATCTCTTCTCTCTGAAGGCATCGCAATTCAGGTCAAGTCAGAGCAAAAAGCATCGCAAACAGAAAACCCAGAGACACAGAGCGTGTCGCAGGAGAAATAAACAGTTTTTATAACATCTCGCCCGAGTCAGAGCCGTGATGGATTAAGGCGTATGAGAACATATTCCTCTTTTTGTCGTGTGCAAATTAATTGGTGCCGCAACAAGAAGTGGCAAGTGTTTGGGGGGCAAATGGCTTAAAATAAAATCTATGTTGTGCTCTAAAAAACAAATTTAAGTGACTCACCGATCATCTGTGCAATTGTTTTCTCATACTCAGCAACAATTCGCCTACAATATAGAACAGACAATAAACAAACAGACAATAAACAGACAATGTTTTTTTTTTTTAATAAATGATGAAAAAAACCTAAAACAAATTAGAACCACCTAGTTTTAAATGTTCTTACAGTAGTTACTACATCATGCTTATGTGTATGTTATCGTGTTGTCGTCTAAAAGTTTATCCTTCTGTTCCAGAGGTAACATACTGAAATAAATAAACTTTTACTTTTTGCGATCTGTATCTGTGTTGACCTTGACTGTTTTTTCCAATATTTATAAAAAAATAATATGACATAAATTCACATTTCATTCAAATCTTTTTGGGGTCATTTTTTATTATAACAGATTTAATCTTCACTAATCATGCTGTACAATTGTTTTCCCTATTGTTGGTTTTAGTCCATTCCGTCAGTTCTACGCCAGCAGGGGCCAGTAGGGAGCAGTGTTTCATTCTAATCAGGTTAGCGGCGGTAAGAGGATTGATTAGCCATGCCTCTCCTGTTAGCCTCTTAGCCTCTCCTTATCCTCACTCGAATCAGTCAAATGAACTAAGTCCTGTTTTATCCACACTAACTGGGCTGGGGCCAACTGAACACCCACCCTCTACCTGCAGAGTATGACACTTACTTTAAATTAATTTAATTACTTTAAGGAACAGCCTGTTTCACCTAATGTCTTTATACTGCATTATCCTTAACCCATCTCTTATATACTGTAGATTAATTAGTTTCTTTATATTTTATACTTATTATTATTATTATTATATTACTTCCGTCTTTGTTTGCTTTTCAGTCAAAGTCGAATTTCTGAGCTTTGGAAATACTGCAAAATTGCCTGAAAACCTATATTAAAAAGATTGGATCTTAATATGAAAAGGTTATTGCTTGATTAATATAGATACGCCTCCAAAGTTTGCACATTGCATATTGTTGGTGCAACTAATACTACTACTGCTACTACTACCACAGTAACCACAGTAACCACAGTAACCACAGTAACCACAGTACCACAGTAAAGTAATGACAAAATCTGAACATTACCTCATCTCAACCACTTCCACTCTGCTCTCTTCATATTTCTTTTGCCACTCCAGGACCTCCTTCTCTTTTGTTATAATCTACAAAATGGGAAAATTGTTTGTAGAGAAGCCAGAGAAAAAGAGCATTTTCAGATCCAGGATAAAAATAAAAGACCCCACCTCTTCTCGTGCAATCCCCAGCGAGTGGTCCATGTCACTGGGGAGATGGGGGCTCTCTCCCTCCATGTAGTTACTGGTGTTCCGGGCATACAGGGAATTCTTGGATACTGCACTGTCATTTGGAGCGGTTTCTTTTCGCTGCTCCCCGGAACCAAATGAAAGAACAGAAAGAAATGGAAACATTGCTAGTTATATAGACAGCAATTACAAGCAAGACTTCCCAAGCTCTCCAGGTACCAACATACACCCATCCTGCATGAGATAGCATTAAACAATATGAGATAAATAAGCCATGTGTAAATTAGCCAGGGCAGTGATGCTCCAGAAGACTTGGCCAACTTGGCATATGATTGGATGGTACAGTCACCATAACCACAGTATGAGTTCTGTGATTGGCTGATGCGGCCTCCAGCTGAGCGGTCATGGTAACCTCCTTGTTTCCCAAAAGCTTGAATGAGATTAGGTTCCAAGCAAAGGGGAATACAATGTTTTGATACAGATAAAACTGCATCATATTATGGGTTAGAGCAAGGACTGAGCCATGAAGGAAGTAGAAATTAGTTTTGTGTTAATGTATCTGGCAATGAATAAGTCTTACCTGCTTGACTAGAGATGTAAACCAATTCTGCCCCAAATACAAAATCATATATGAGAATAAGATTCCTAAATTTGCACAATGTAACTTTTCTAGTTGAGGGTTTGTCCAATGACATGGTATTGCTTTCCCTGGAATGTTCCACACTATGGCATTACATTTATCTCTCTTGCATAGTGTGGAAAATTTTAAGCAAAGTATTACCATCTTCATCCACATCTCTAAAATATGGGACCCTCCACCAGAAAAGTTACATAGTGCACCTTTAACATGACTTTATCAAGAGCCTCTTTCCTATACCTGATATTAAAAAGCAATGTAGATTTAATACTATTTTCTCAACTGAAGCAAAGATTTTGTGGTGCCTTGCAGAGCAGGATTACAAAAGGATTTAATGAAATGGGAGACGCTCACTGGAGACAATGTAAAATACAGAGCAAGAAAAGACTTGGGTCTGAATTGAGCAATTATTCTGGTGTAGCAGGAAAGGTTAGGTTAGAATAATGTCACGGACAAGTGAATGTAATTGACTTTCAACACTCCAATTTACAGAGGTTTGAACAAAAACTCTATTTTCTTTCCTTCATTATTTTAAAGGTCCCCAGAGACAATCCCACCAAATTACTTTAAATGTCTTTACTCTAGGCACAATGTACAAGAAAATGGTTTGGGACTTAAAGTTGCACTGTGAAACTTTTCCTGGAGGGTCCACCACTTGCTTGTCTAGACCCCATGGAAATGTTCTTGTTTTGCCTGAAATATTTCACATTATGACATTTAAATTGCCTATCTCCACAGACACAAGCGGATGATCCTCCAGGCCAAGTTACAGGTCAAATGTGTGGAGACATGAGCCCACTCATGGTAAAAATGCATATTTGAATAGATGAAATTCCTGCAATTGAATAAATGAAAGATAATATGGAACATTCCAGGTAAAGCAGGTGGCAGACCCCCCACCAGAAAAGAAATCGACACATTGCACCTTTACACTTACCATTACAGATTAAGACAGTTTGCTACAGTATACATATCTAAACTACTGCTATTACTTAAGTACAGGGGTGACTACAAAAATAATGGACAGTACGAAAGGTAAAGGTTACTACTGACTGATTCTGTTATGTACAATCTACAATAAACAATGCAGTTTGTCAGTTGTCAAAGGCAATTATTTTTGTAATAAATGTTACATTACACTATTTTTAAAATTATTCTATATACACATTTTCAGGCATTAAATATGACAACTTTTCCATTAATATTATTATAAGTGGTCATATTATTATGCCTGATTGAAGTGGATTAAACACTGGGAGTTCAGTAGTTGGGTTAGGTCGGGTCGCAGGGTTAAATTTATCTTACTTTTATAAGAGGCGACCCATTGATATTCCATCGACGAGTGCTGGGTTTCTTGGGGCAGGACTGTGAAATATTTGAGAAATAGATTCAGAAATGAACTACATGTCTGCAAGGAGCTATTGGACCTGAACCAACTTTGGGTGTTCACTCCACTGCAACTCATCATCACCTATGCACCAAGTAACCGATCTGTGTCCAGTGCATTTACTGTAACCACAAAGTATACAAATAAACAACGACAAACTCTAGGTATGTTGTCTTGATAAAGGAACCAATCCCAAAATAAGAACGTTGTTACAGTCTGGTAGTAAAGTAAGGTAACACTTTATAATAATAACTACACCTAATTAGCCTTGATAATGCATTGTAAAATACTTGATTCATAATGAACAAACAGTTTATTACAAATGTTTCAGGCTTATTAACCACTTAATTAATACAAAAACTCCTAACTCCTTTAATTAAATAGTTACTATTTGCTCATTATGGATTAAAGGTCCAAAAAATGATTCTGGTGAGCTTTAAGCCATGTTACCTCAATGTTACCTCATCAAAAACATACATGGAGTCATGTTTTGTTTCATTTACACATGTTTGACAAATCCTTTATTATTAGTCTTTCATAATTATAAGTCTTTCCACATCTCCAAAGCTCAAAATGCTCTGTTCCACATTATGATGTCATGAAGCAGTAGTTTTCAAGATAACAGCTCCTTTTACCTTTAGTTCAGCAGACTGGCAATTCCAGGGCTGAAATGATCCAAATCATCCTAGGGAATGTGTATGGAGTTTAAAAACACAGTGGAGTGTATTACCACGTGACATCACAAGGTGGAAGAGAGTGTTTTCAGTTTGAGAGAAGAATTCACCCTAAATATGCAGGGTTTGTGTGTTAAACATGTTAAACAATGACACAAAACACAACTCCACGTATGTTTTTGATGAGATAACAACTTTATAAAATTTATTTTAAAAGATAATATGGGCCCTTTAAGTATTTCTTCATGCTTTATTAAAACTCATAAGGTTTAGTTATATTAAGTGCAACCAAATAATAAACTATACAAAATAAATCAAGAAATACATGTTTTTAGCAAATGTACAGGGCCTAGCATGATGCTCCCAGATACATTCATGCTCATTTAAGCCTTGGCATGAACAGGCAACATGCATCAAGTACAGTAGCCAATGGACTCGCTCTTCGTGAGAAATTCAGCCTGAAAAAGCTAGTAGGGGTGCGCAGATTAGACACGGTAAGCCAGGTTAGAGACTGAAGTTGAGTTTGTGGATGCAGGGCTGCAGCCACCATGTCCATAAGACCATGGTTTGGGGGTTAAAAGAGGAGGCACATGCACTCACTACCACACCTGCTTTTAGTTCACTCCCTCACTCATTCACTCATTCTCCTAGAGATGTTATAGTAAGGCATGTCCACACAACACACAGCGGGAGCAGGTGCAGGCTGACTCAGCGCAGTACCTGGGGGGATACAGTGGAGAGGGAGGGGCACTGAGAGATGTTTTTGGCTACCTGCAGAGCCTCTATCCTCAGGGCAGCAAGCACCAGCTCCTCCTGGGCCACGCACACAAGGGAGAGGAGGAAGGAGGGGTGAGAGGGGGGAGGGTGCGCGGCCCGAGGATAGATAGAAGAATAAAGGAGAGAGAGATATACAGTAGATACTTCAGACACTTGTAGCTTGCTATCTGTTACACTGTAGTTAAATTCAAGGGAGTAATTTGAAAGAAACACAGTGCTAGCATTGGCACCATTTGCAAAAGACACTCAAAACACTAAAAATAAATACATACATTTACATTATTTGTTTGGGTTTGTTGTTTTGGTATTTTCACACTGAAAGTTGACAAAACCTGTCTGTTTATTATAAAAGTTCATACAAAAAATATCCAGGGCATGGAAAAAGAGTTTTAAGTGTTGAATTTGCCATTTGTCATGACCAGTAGCCAAAAAAAAATGGCCATAAATCACAAGTGAGTTGCGAATTCTAGTTGTTACCTACATTGCCAATTTGCCATTTACATTTCATTTGGGTGTCAATACAGTCATGAAAGGGCACTGTAAAATGCGTAAGGAAGAATGAAGACAAACAGAGGTGAACAATGGTAAAAGGAGAAAAGAAACACACACATCAAAAAGACGCACAAAAGTCCCAACAGAGAAAGGTCCAGAAGTTTTACACTGCGGACATTTTGAGGTCTGAACACACCTGCAGTTTTTGGGCGAATGCTGTGGGGTTGGTCTCTGCCAGGTCAGGCTCCAGGTACTGCAGGGGGTCGCCACACTCGGACAGCTGCTCTAAGAGGGGCATGTCCGGGGCAGGAGCAGGGCCCACAGGCTGCAGGGGGCACCATGGGGAGCAGAGGGCAGGGAGGGGCAGGTCAGCAAAGCAAAGCGAGGACTGACTTCGGGGCTTAGTCATAAACATGATTTTCTGTCTATAGCCTTGGGAACCTATGTCAAACTTGTGTCATAAAGCGGTTGCTATGGGTGAATCATGGGTGCATTAGCCATGATTACTGCAGTGTTGATTTAGTATTATGAATTTAGTCAACTAAACTTCCATTGCATTTTAGTCTTCTAAAACTAGACTAAAACAAAAAAAAATATTTCAGTAAATATTGACAGAAAGTAAAAATCATTTTAGTCAAAAAGGCTAAAAACTAAAACAAAATATGCAATATATTTCTTGTCAAAACAAACAATTACTGTATATAAAAACAAATAAGCAGCTGTTTCACTGCTGTGTCACTATTGCTGAAAATGTATAATAACATATAATAGTATGTGTAAATGGTCAGGTATATTGTTTTAATTTTTAATAGTCACATTTTCCACTTCCACTTATGGCTACTTGTTAGTGAAAGATATCAGAAGATCTTGAAGTTATGAGCCAAATCATTATCAACACAATTTCATCCATGGTTCTCTGACTCCCCCTTGTGACTACATGTATAATGGCATGAAGAAAAATGTTTCAAAAATAAAACACACTTATCTAAATAAAAATGGTCGCACACATATTAATGCCTTCTGAAAGGACAATGTGAGTCTTAATTGGTCAAACTCTCACCTGCTCCTCTCTGTCTGTGCTCTGGTTTCGGGCGAGCTTCTCACTCTCTCTCTTCCGTCCCTTGTCTCCGGCAGAGCCTTCTGGACCAGGTCGTGTGCTGAGGATTGGGGTCTTCATGCCCGCTGTGATCTGCGCCTCCATCTCCTCAAAGCTCCTGCAGAGAATGACGCAAATAACCAACAACACACAATGAGAAAGGAAAGCCATGTCATATAGTGAGTCATGATGAAATATCTAGGAGCATAGTGTGAGCGAGAAGTATTTATAAACATGAGTGACAAGTTTAGCATTGCATGTCAACAACCTAGAACTATGATGCGTACTTTTATCTCATCCTGTTTTAAAATAGAGATAGGAATTGCATCATCATAATGCAGCACATGCCTAGAAAGCATAAACCAATAGTGAAATTTGTTTACTTTCTTGTATTGTTCACATAGTATAAGTTAACTTTGCTGTCTGCTTGTCAGAAACATGTGACATTATCACACTTAGCCTAAATCTATTCATGCCTGCAGCTATTTTTTTTTAAATATTTTTGTCTTTGTTTTGTCAGTTGTTTGGAGGTATCTCTGTGAACCAGAATGCAAAAGAATTCCAATGTGCTTGTGCTTGTATCTTGCAAACTGAATCAAATTGCATTCTATTCTAGCTTTTAAATGGACAAAAGTCCTCAAAATGTCATCTACAATGGAAAGGTAAAAGACTGGAGAAGAGATACTGACTTACCCAGTGCAAGGCGAGTTAGGTTCAGACCCATGGGTGGTGTTGTTTAAGTTGTCAGACACTGAGTCCAACTTGAGGTACAGAGATGGCTTCTTCACCGACAGAGGCTAAAATAGACAAAAGAACATAACAGAATATAGTCATACTAAAAGTCATACCTAAATAAAAAAAATACTTTTGATTGAATCTATGAGTGACACATATATATAACAATAAAGGTGCAAAAGACATGACTACTCACAGGTGAAGAGGTGCCAATCTTCTCCATGTATTCAATCTCATAGTCAGCTCCTGACAGGGTAACATACATGTTTTATTTAAATATAAAAATATAAACAACACAGCTATGTTTGAATTGCCACAAACATGAGACCAGGCTCAAAATGGAGTTGCTTTTCCAGTTTCATCTATGATCCAATAAAACAGACCGCCCACATTTAGAAATGGCCATTGAGGTCAGAGTGCAGTAGGGATATAGGGCAGCAGGCGCATTCTATTGGTGAAACTAAATCAATGGCAGCGCTGTATGATTGGATATACAGCACAGCAGTGTCATGTTTGTAATAGAGTCGGCCAGTTTCAATGGTTTGTGGTTGGCTCTGAAGCCTATGCAGTAATACTTATTGAAAGACTAGAATGCTTCATCCTACTCGCTTCTGACATGGCTTTAGTTTAGTTTAGCTTGGATTTTAGTTAAACATACATGCTCATATGCAGAATAAATTAAATGAAGACAAGCCTGACCTGTGGTCTCTAGGGGCAAATTGCTCTCGTTCACAAAAGCTGTGAGGTCGCTAGGTTGAGGGAAGTCCTGTTGTTCAGAGTTTAAACCAGCCTCCACACTCTGCAGGGCGCTCCACTTGTGCCCGGAGGAGGAGGCCAGCTTCTCCTCGTCTGTGGCGTGGTCGTCCTGGGGGTGGTTTGACACGGGGTCTTCTGGGGAGTCCTGCAGAAAGTGAATAATAGTTAGCAAGAAAAAGTGGGAAAATACAAATGTATGAATTATGAAAAATAGTTAAAAATATAAAACTGTCAAAAATGTAAAATAATAAATAAATAAAACTGTAATCTCAAGATTGGTACCTGAGCAAGTTCTGACAGTGGTGATTTCTTTGGTGACCTCTTGACTCTGAAAGTATTACTGTAGAAAATACAAATAAAGTGAATGTGTTTGTTGTACTAATTGTTTATGATACATACACAACTTTTGTTTGTGTATGTATCATAAAATCATCAATGTAGCAGATAAGGTAGCCATAATTAGTCAATAACATGAACAAAGGTGAATTAACATTAAAATAAATTAAGAAAATATAAGAAATTAGAATTTTTAGTCTCGTTTTGCCCTATTGATTTTACTTTTTGACCCATTTGCTAATCCTAAATGTAGCATAAATAGAAGTATGGATTTTTGTGTAGTATTTAGACCAGCTACCAGAGTGTACAGTTTCTCTATTGTGCAAGGTGAACGTTTGGTGCAACTGGCCACTAGATGTCACTATTACCAATGTGCTTTTCTTTGAGGACTGGTTTGATACTTTGATAGGCAATGACACCCTAAATTGAATGGCAAAACATGTCTGGTTAAAAGATGACAGAAGCTTGTAAAATAAGTATTCATACATTAACAACATCGGTGAGATATGTGAGTTTATAGATGTTAGGCTTATTGACCAAATTGTCCCTGTACTTACAACATACAACATAGAGAGGACACACCATTGGACTTCCTATGACATTGGGAATACATAGACACAGGTGACAGCCAAGACAGACAATGTACATACAATGGGAAAAAACAAACTAGCCCTACAAACTATATCATCTGAAAATCCAAAGATTACATTTTAAAGTGCACATGACAGGTCAGACTGCTCATTTCACTAAAACACAGTTAATATCATTATATTTAAGAATACTGAAATAATTAGGAAATATATTAATCTGTCAAATGCACTTTAATATTTCCACTTACGATTTAATTGGAGTTTTCTTCTTCTTGGCAGGCTTGTTCTGATTTTGGTCTTCCAGTTCTCCAACGTTGTCATTATCATTCTCTACATCATTATCATTTGCAGACAGTTCAAAAGACGCAGAGGCCTTTGGAGGAGAAATGCTGATTTTATTTGACGATTTGAAAGGGTCTATGGAGTCATCAAAGTTATTGGGGTCAAAAGCATGAGAGGGGCGAGATAACTTGGGGGAGTTCCCAATGCCTTTCTTAGAAGTAAACGGGTTGAAATTAGGATCGTCCCACTTGTCTTCAAAGTTATATGAGACTTTGGGCACTGGGATTTCATCATCGTTCCCATTGGTTGGAGCACTGTTGTCAAGCTCCTGCGTCTGTGTGGGAGGAGGCTTTTTCAGTCCTAGCTTGGGTCTCCGAAGAGGCATCTTGGCACCAGGCTTTTTGCCCAGTTTTTTGGGTGGAGGGGTTGCCTGTTGGGCCGCCTCACCACTCTCCTCTGAGTAATCAAACTCCAGCCTTACGCCTTGACGGTTTGGCAAAATCGGCTGCTCCTCTGGGTTAAAAATAGGCTCTTTAGAAGGAGCTGGGTCACTGGGAGGAAGGGGATCTGAAGAAGGGATAGTGGGGCTTTCTGTGCGTATAGGTTCAGTGCTAGAAATATCTTTACGTCCTAGTACAGGAGAATTAGCGATTTTACTACCTCCTGTTTTGAATGGGTTGATATTGTCAATATTGTCTGGGTCCCAACTGTAGGAGGCACTGGGTGGGATGGGTGATTCTTCTTTGGGGTTTGGACTTGTAGAGACTTGGGTCTCCTCTTGACACAGGGGTAAGGCAGAGACCGCTGAATTGTCGTTCGGAGTGGTGTTGGTCTCTTCGGCGAGAGGGGGTGGAGTCACTACACGGTTCTTTCTTGTTCGTCTGAGTGTACCGCCAGGACTTGGGGTCGCGGATCCAGTTTCGCCTTCCTCTTGAGGCTGTAAGGGACTGGATGTTCGAGGTTTTGCTCTTTTTAAAATCTCAGGCGTGCTACTGGATGACGCTGGTTTTGCACTTTCCGGATTTGAGTTCTGTCTTAAAATAGGCTTCTTTTTAAGTGAACCTCCTCTGACTTTTTTAGGTCGATGCAAAGTTCCTGGTGCGCTCCCACTTCCAACAGAGAAAGATTCGGAATGTGGTCGGAACCCTGCTGATCCGAACTGCACGTCGGAATGATCTAGTTCTCCTCCCTGAAGACTGAGGGAGCGGGTCAATGCGGGATTTGAATCTACTGCAAACAGGTCAATGTTATAGGACCCACTGGCTGCAATAGGTCTATCTTCATCAAAAGCAGTGGAGGGGGAGTTGCAGGATCGTTCAAAAGGCAAGTCAGACACAGTGTTATTGATGGAAGAGTCTTGTACTGAAAAACATAACATATAAATGACTTGGTTAGCTTTTTTAAGGAAGCAATTAATAAATACAGCTGCTTAAGGCATGCAAGAAACCAAATCCTAGAAGATCCTAAAAATCCACTCTGATAATTACTGGATCAGTCCACTAGAGGGTGCTCTGAAATCTTTGATACAGTCAGTCAGAACAATGACATTTTACTTGCTTATCATGGGGGCAACCAGTGACCCAGTACTGTGGCATTGAAGTATGGATAAACCTATCAAATATAAAAAAAAAAAAATTGAACCTCTCTTCTTTGTAATTGTTATATTATATTAAGTGTTTTATGTTAATGGTTAGCAGTTAGATATTAGTTGTTATGTTTTAATGCTTCATTGTGAACATAACTTTATATTTTTTGTATACTGTACCAAGTGATTTATAGTCCAATATATTTTAATACCTTGTTCACTGGCCACTGTTTGCTGGTTGGGGATTTCTGGGGTTGCCTTCACTGGAGTGGTCGACTCTGGGGTCTCAAAGGCTCCATCAGAGTCTGAGCTCCTGTAAAAAATGACATAAAAATAAAAATTGATAAGACAATAAAATTCTGATACGCCCTGTGTGGATTGCTCTAGGCTTGTTTTAATAAAGCCACTATGCTATGGACAGCAATAACTGACATCCAGAGGGGGTATTTCAGATGAGCAACTCTGGGTTTAATTGACAATACTGTCCACAAGCCCCAAGGTTATAACTGCACAGATGAGCCCTTAAACCTATAGTAAAACAGCAATAGTAAAGTGGATTACCAAAGTGAACACTCAGCAGTCAAAAAAATAATACCAACATCAATATTTAATAAAGTGACCAGTAAGTACAAAACTAACCAAATGTCTATGTTTTTATTCCATTTAATTAATCACCTGAGAGTGTGACTATCTTCTCAGAAAACAAGATGCACTACAGTTGCAGTTGTAGTAAGTATGAGTCTCTTTTTTGTATTCATTGTTGTATTACAAAATGAAAAAATACAATTCCTGAGGTTCGGACAAGATGCATTTTAAAAGACAATATACTGAGTCCACAAAAACTAGTCAACAAAAAATGTAAACCAAAATCATTGTTTAAGATATGTGCTCTGGAAAATTATTATCGTCAGCTTTGCACTTGGCTCTTGCATATTTGTACTATAAACATTTCATGTCATCACTGTCCAGAGGGACGATAATCTTGTAGCATTTCGATATTGCGAGATCTTGTGGCACTTTGCACCACGCAGAATGAATCACTTGTTATACTAGTTTTAAGCATGACAATAAGAGTAATATATCTATTAAAATAACCTATTTACACTTGCCCCCTCAAGCCCATCATGTGCCACCTGATGGGATGAACACAAAAGGATTCAGCACTTATCCTGGCTTAATAGTATGACCACAGGGGGATTAAATCATTTGTCTTTTTATTTGAATGTATTTTAAGACTAGACACCATCATGGGCAGGTCTTAACACTCCCGAACCTTCATTTCTGTAAATCAATACATCATCCCCGCCACTCCCTCACCTCTGCCAGATCGGCCTGATGGCAGCCTTGACCAGGCTGTCATGGCTTGTACTCCATGAGATCCGGCGGAGTATCCCCAGAGAGGGCTCCGATCCTGGGCTGTCCCCGTCTGGAGTGGTCGCCCCTCCCACCAGCGAATCCCATCCCCATCGGGCCCACTGCAGAGGAGACAGAGCCTGCCACGCACTCACTGCCATGCTGGAACCAGGATGCAGCTCTTCCGCACTACGCTGTGATTGGCCGACGCAAAAGGTAGACGCGCGCTGACTGCCGATGACGATACAATCTCACTGCTGTCTCCAGGTTCCTCTATAAACTATAAACTCTAAATCCTTCAATTCTTTAAGCTCCGTCTTATAATCTGTAAGGCCGTAGGTATCCGTTAATCTTGTTCTCTTCCCAATAAAAATGATTAAAAATAAAATGGCAGAAAGACTGCAGATGTTCAAGCCCATGTATTGGCTGTATTTTGGAGGCTCCTCTCTGCTTCTGTTGCATTCTCCCTTATGGCTTCAGCCTTTTACCTCCCCTCCCTTTCTCCCTCTCTCTCCTTCATCCCTCTCTCTCTCCCTGTCTGATCACACTGCTGTATCCACAAAGAGGAAAACGCAGACGACAGCCCACCAATCACACCAGCTCTCATTAACAAGCACTGGTTGTATTTAGCTAGAATTTATTTATATAAAAAAGATGGAAACAGGAAAACGCAGTCCCACCCTTTTCTCCTTGGGCATAGGCAAAGTGTACAAACTAAAACCCCAAATCTTTACTGATATAGGGGCTTTATAGGGGGTTTATAGGGACTTTATAATCACTGCTCTGAGTAAAAGCATATAACAGCATAATGCAGAGGAGCTGGTAAAGATTCATACCTGCAGAGTCTATTGATCTGAGTCTGAGTCTATGAACACTTTAGCAGCAAGAGATTTTGAGCATTTGATGGTGAGAGTATAAAAGTGGTTGAAATCTCATCTTGTGATCATTATAGCTTCAATGAGAGACCCAAAAAAAAAAGACTAATAATAGGTCCCACTGATATTCATGGTCATTCTTGTATTTATGTCACAATGGGCAGCTGCTATCAGTCTCCTACTATTGCCAGTGTTTGCTTAATTTACCCATGCACCCATGTGGACTTGACAATTTGATGATTGATGATCAGGTATTTGCATAAACTAAATGATTCATTCATCCATATGGTTTTAATTAATCAAGCATAAACATCGATCCAGTTTTGTTTCAGATTTTATGTGAACTGACACGACAATTTCACGCCATTTTTATAATAGCTTAAAAACAAGACTATTTCCACAGTATATAAGATGGCTGTTGTATTTTTTCTTCTCATTTATAGTAAATTGAATTGCACATTTTTTGTCATTTTCAGGTTAGTGCTGGTGTGAGACTGATGACCAAAAGAGAGCCATAATCTCTGGGAGATATACTGAGCCACAACAGAGACCCAGGATCAAACATCCATGTGTATTTTATTTCCTATTATTATTTGGTTCTGTACATTCATTTTTTCATTATGAATCTTTCTTGGTATAATTTTCACACTATTTGTCTGCACACTTAATGCAGGCATATAAAAGACAATTCTGCAACAGTAAAATGTTTTTCTTACCTTCTCACCTCATAAATTGCAAATAAACTCCCCATAGTTTCTCAACAATATAAGCAGATAATGGGTTTGCAAACACTGTGTTGCCATGGAAACATGAGGCTGTTCCCACCATATGTTCAGAAACAAACTGCCACCCACAGCACACGACGTACAGCACGGGAATTTTACTGTAAGGTAAAATAACTATTATATTTACACTCATATAAACACGTATAAATAAATTAATGAGGTTTGTTTTTTTTGTAATAAAATCAATAAAACATACAGTATTCTATGAAAAAAATATTCTATGAGCACAAGAGCAGTTAAAAGGAAACAAAACTAGACCTATAATCAAATGCAGCCATCAGACCAATTAATAAGACTGTTGGCTGGAACATCAAAAAGCCAGTTGTAATAATGTGACTGCAGTCTAAACGCAGAGTCTATTTACAGCCTAGAGGAGCAGATGCAGACAAAACAGAGCAGAGCAGCAGATGACAGTGGTGAGTGGGCGAGTGGTCATGTTCAGGGCACATAGAAACAGCAGAAGGCGCTAATATCAACGTCTCACTGCAGCCTGAGAGACAGAGGCAGAGGCAGTCACGGTCAAACGCTTCACTGACTATAGAAAAGTGTTCAAAAATAGCACTGCATATGTTTACAGAAAGAGGATGGACAACGAAGATGGGCGCTACCAGATTCCAGAGAGTTAAATCGTTTATCTTGCAGAGGCAGATTAGCCACAATGGATTATATGACAAAATCCCACTTTTGTCAATGAAAAGATGTCTTAATATATTCTGAGTTTTTAGCATGAATTTGGCTCTAATGATTGAGCGTGACCTTAGCTGCATCAGTGTGGCTTCAGAAATCAATCATTGCTCAGTGAAGCATTGCAAATATGTTTTTATCATGCGTTCATCATATAATAACTGGGTATAACAATTGGAAAAAACAAGTAAGTAAGAGCAGATTCAGATTTCTTGTCATTCGCTTAGTTGCTACAATGAAGAAAGCATTTTTATCCAATTAATGAAAAAGCACAGCACAAACAAAAAATGTATTGTTTACATCTTGGCTCCTATTAACCGTATGGCCAGCAGAGGGAGCCCTTGTGTTTTGTTTTTCCAAATATGAATGAGTGTAGCTGTCCTCTTTGCCCATTGTATTACTACGAAATACATACTCTGAGAACCATTACAAGCAAAAATAATACAACTAAACCTCATGTATTTTATAGAGTCAAATGTAAGCTATAGGGATCCCATTGTAGCAACACAAAGCCAGTCTGTCTGTAGCCAATGACTTCTTGCCCAGAGGACATAAAGATGATATGGAGAATTAGCTGTACCTGTACTGAGACCTATAAAAAACATGACAAATTCTCACACACAGAACCAGATGTTTTACGCAAGTTATTCCCATCAAAACTGTAAATCGACCCTCCAATACACCTGGTATGTCCATAAACTTGAAACTCCACAGACCAAAACAAAGAAAGGACAATGCATAAAATGGTTAATCCTTTACCTTGTGTGTTCTAATCTGAGGAGCAGATGGTACGTTTTAGGGCAAGAGCCAAGAATGGGGCAGCAGCAGAGTGAAAATGGCAAGGAGGGGGTTAAAAATATGCCCAAAACTAATGATGAGATCAGACAGTCCGGGAAGAGACACTAGACCAAAGCATAACAACCCCCATCAGGGCAGACACCACACAACCTGCCCCTAGAGTATTAGCCACATGGCAACTTCAAATTAAGACAGTATAAGCATAAACAAATTTGTTTTGTGAGCAGCATTTGAATAAATGGGTACAAAAAATAGTATATAACATGATTAATAATTTCATGAAAAGACGGAAGAATCCAGAAGTACATCTAATTAATTCATTCATATTATAGTGAATAATTCTAGAAGAATGCCATTAACACTTCAAAATGATTTAATAGAGCTGATCAATAATGGCAAAAATTATTGATCTCATAATTGAAATCACAATTTACTTCAAACAATTACAATCAAATTTAACCTGTAAAGAAATACACCTATTTTATTAGTAATGTGACACTTTTGTAGAAAGTGGCTTTGTTCCAGGTTTTGAGGAACAGAACAAGCACACATTATAATTTGTACCTGAATAGAGCAATAATTTATCTCGCAGTTATAAATATGATTCATTGCACAACCCTACTTGAATATAAATGTTTCTTTTATCCTAAAAAGCATATTCTTGCATCATAGATATACTGTAGGTATCACATTAAATATATAACCTTAAAGTTAATAGGGAAATTCATTAACAAAAGCCTCATGACCTTATTTAACTATTTAAGTATAAGCAATAAGATTAATTCTACACAAGTACACAAATAGTAACAAGGCTATAA